ACAAATGGGATATTATAAAACTGTTAATTATATAATCATATTACAAATGACTAAATTTTGATCCCTGAAATCATTGGTAACACCCATGTTCACTTTGCCTGGTTTTGTTGCAGCATGCTCCATATAACATATATATAAATCTACATATAATCCATTTATTATTATTATTAGGCTTATGCTATTGCGAGTCAAATGAATATTTTATATAGAAGCATTGTCTCCATTTATCTTGACAATAATATTTTATCCCATCATACTTAAAGATCCAAATCATGCAAAAATTTCTGACAAAAGAAGATTCAAATTCGAACTACACCAAAGAAATTAATAAAGAAACAATTGTTCAGTGTTTCACTGATTTTGCAATTAGTGCACTTGCTAATGCAGTGTTTTTAAATTCAGTTCTACTTTTTGCTCCAATAATGATAAGAGAAATTGGTTTTGATTCAGACAGAGTTCAAGCATTTTCAGCTCCACCATTTATTATTGCTAGCATTGGTCAATGATAAGGCATGTAATCAATCATATGTGTCATCATTGCAAGATTGCTTTCTCATCTTGTGTAGCATCTAATATTGTTAATATAGCAGTCTGTTATTGATTTATTTGATTTTTTTTTTCAATATAAAAGTCGACTAGAATGGCATCTTTTTAACAGCAGGAGAAATTGGCAGTCAGGTTTATAGAGTACACAGTTTTTCATGTAGTCATATATGTCATAATATTTTTATTCATCTTGTTGGCAAAATTCATATTTACTAGACTTAACAAGAAAAAGATTTACTTTAATAAAAAAATAATATATAATAAACAACAACAATGATAATAAAAGATGAGTAGGGATGTTAAACAGCTGACTCAACCGTGGTTGAACCACGATTGAACCGCGGTTTGTCGATCTGATCTACATAAATAACCAATTAAATTTTAATCATGATAAATGTAACGATTTTAAATAAAATAAATAAGAAATAAGTCTAAACATTATAGTTAAACAGTTTATTTATTAATTTTTACTATCAAGTTTAGAAACATTTGGATAGATGAGATTATCTGTCTGTTTATAAATAGAATAAATAATATTTTTACTACAATTAA